TTTTTAAGGAGAGGGGAAAACCGCAGTACCCGGAAAAAACCTCTCGGAGCAAGGGAGAGAACCAACAACAAACTCAACCCACATCTGGGGTCGACGCCAGGATTCGAACCTGGACCACATTGGTGGGAGGCGAGCGCTCTCACCACTATGACACCCTTGCTCCCGTGCCAACTGAACTACAAAGCCAAATGGGAGCAAGTCATGGGTGATAAAGTTGATCTTTCTAAAGGGGCCACTGATGGCCTTGGAAGCCTGACCCAAAGCTTTGCAGTCCAGTAGCAGAAGGTCTTCAAAAAAGGGAAAAAGGGAACCATGCATGGCAAAGAAAGTAATGTTGAAGTTTGCAACATGTACCAAGGTCAAACAGTCATTGTATTCTTTGGTTCAGTTGATTCTCCAATTCTCTTTGCTACGGCTTATGCTCAGAGCACTATCTGTTCCCTCATTTGTATCACAGTGCTACACAGCACAACATTAGTTTCCCCTGGCAGTTGCAGTACCTATGAGGTAATTAATAACCAGGTGTGGACTATATGTATTGGGTGGGGCATCACTGGCCCCTAACAAGGATAATTATTATAAGCTTAACAAGCAGAGGAGCTGAGTTCCCATTAGCTGTCTGTAGTGTGCATGACCCACTGGCAGATGGGCATGGGTGGGCTTCAGCAATGCCATCAGGCTAGGTGTAATAAACAGTTAAAAAGACAGGCCTGTTAGCTCGATGAGGGCTATTTTATGTGTAACAAGATACATGTACATGTAAAACATCTGTATGGCGGGATTGCACATATTTTACATTAAAATGTATCCAACTGAGTAATTCATGCAATTATAATTTTATTACCTTACTAGTAGAAGCTTTGTAAGTTGTTTTTATTTTCTGGGACATCAACTGGCTTGCAGCTGCAACACATAAATTATAACAAATTACAATAAGTTCATAGAGTAACAGATAAAAATGCCTGGCAATCCCTCTTTCAAAGCAGCAGACAAGTGTACTACTCCTAAGGTTACTATACAAGAGTATTATGGGTTGTGTACAATAGTGTGTATCCCAGTGGCCTGGGATAAACATTAAAAGAATGCCAGAGAAGGAAAGAGTATGAGAAAATTTGCTAGAAAGCCAATTTTGGAATGATTGATATGAAAGACCAGGATTTTATAGGTTTTGGATTGCTCAGTGTAAAAAGACCACCACCTTACAGTGGTGGAGTAGTTTGTGTGTCTCAATGACCCATAGAGCTATGTCACCTGGAGTCTTTGACTCCTGCTAGGGCCACCCATGCCAAACAGGTTGAAGGATAGAGACCACACTAAGTGTGGTCCCCTGGTCCTCCAGGTTGGGGATTTGGCTGAGGTCTGATAACCCTCTCCCAGAAAACCCTGTTATTACAGAAACCAGAAGGAGAGAAAATTCACTTTAACAAGGCTAACCAAGAAAAGTGGAGGGACTCTGTGCCATGAGGTGCGAAGAGGATAGGTGAGGTGAGGAGTGCCTGTAAAAGGTTAGTATGGAAAAAATTGCTTGATCACAAGGCACATGCTCCGGCAGGTTTTTCAATATACTGCTGCATATGGCTTTTTCTTTATTACCTAATTATCACTAATTTTACCATGACTTTAATTTGGCAAATTTGGAAGAGAAATATTTTGTGGGACTTAAATTTCACGATTTTGACGAAAAAATAAAGGTAATTAAAGTTCTTGAAACAAGTACAGTGTACACTGGTGCTCGTGTTTTAAACTGCCATTAATTTTCTGCATTTTATTCAACCATAATGGAATAGAAATGTAACAAGCAACTGGCTGAATTATTCAACAAATCAGCAAAATAACATCTTTAAAACTTCAGCGATGCGTCAGATGATGAGGAACAAGGACATGCGCTGAACTGAAATTTGAGCCCTCCTCCCCATGTATGCTCCTAGCAGATGGAAAACTTTAATTAAGGTTTTTATATCTAAATTTTGTGTCTTTAATTTTCGCAAACCTTTTTTCGCAGGAATTTAATTTCATGAATTTTTTTAAATTACAGAAATCGTGGAAAATAAGTCTCACAAAAATAAGTGATGATAAGGTACATGTTTTCAAACAACCATAAAATTCTGTTGTTAAGAGTTAACTACTAGCATATAAGACCAAAGGAAAAACGGTGGATATATGGAAAGTGAAGTGCACATTTACACAAGAAAACCTAAAGTACCAATGTGTTTAGATGAAACCAATGACTTGCTGCAATGTCCATTATGGTTTGCACACTAAGTCTTGTACTATTAATCATGTTTATGTCAGCTTTCCAAATCAATTTGCCCAAAAACAGAAGTTGAATCTCTAGATAAGCCACTTTTTTAACCAAAAACTGAAAAGGTGCTTGGAATAATAGCCTTATTTTGTTACATGTTAACATTAACTCTTCAACTAAGCCATGTGTTCTCTGTGACACACAATAGACAAACTGACAGTAATTTTATAAAATGCAGTAGCTTACACTGCTTTTTACTATATCCAGTTTTTGAAGAACCTCCCTCAGCAAATAATTCACCATCTCCAAACTTTTCTCCTCCACTCAGGACAAGATCCAACTTTTCATTCAATGCTTCAACTCTCTCTTGCACTGTTAACAGACATAAACAAACACACACAAGTTAGATAATCTACATTTGATTTCAGGTTAATTTTGATTTAACCTAGTTAATTTTCAATTTCCTTTGTCTCCTAGCCCTATTATTATTCATGAATAAGGGCTAAGAAACAAAGCAAATTGAGAATCAACCTACCGTACGTTAAATCAAAATTAACCTGAAATCACAGTTGACAGTCTGTAACATACATGATGATATGCTGGTGACATGAGCGCAAAAATAATACCTCCCTTCTGTACACTTGGTCAGTAAAACAAGAAGGCCTTGGAAGTTAGGCATTATCCTATATATAAGTCTCTTAGCTCAATAGCAAATAGACCAATTCCAATATATTAACATTCATACTTGGCTGCATCAGGCTTGGGGGAATAAAACAAAAGAAATCATCTTGAGGCTCAATAATGAATTCTTTTGTTTTATTCCCCCAAGCCTTGGAGCCAAGTATGAATTTCAATATATCGAAAATGGAGTATTCTGCCATTCACTGTTTGTCAGCTCCCATAATATACTGTACCTTGTTTGTACCTCAAAGTTTTGCATAACCTTTGTTTTTAATTTCTTCTGTGGTATTACAGTCATTCCAGGAGAAAAAAAAGACATTCACAGGGGTTATGCAAAAATTTAAAATTTTGTGGGAGCAAACAAGGTGCATTATGCGAGATGTGAAAATCGCAAAGGACCTTTCAAATATATTCATAAACTTTTTGAAATAAGCTGATCAGAAAACAACAAACATAACAAGGTAAAACTAAGTATTGTGGGTATTTTGTATATTTTTTAATTTCATGAGATCCTTTTTAAAAACCATTTTTAGTATGAAAAGTTAGTTATCTCAATAAAGATTATTATTATTTTTATTATTATTAAACCAAGATTTACCTTTTAAGGAAAATAAAAAGTTAACTACACTGTTGAATCCAACTCTTTTCAAACCCTTTGTATTTGAGATTACCACTAATTTGGACCACATTTAACTTTCATTTACCATTCACAACTGTGATTTTACCCCTGAATTTTTCAAACCTCTTGGTATTTAAAACCAATTTGCTCTTTTAACTTGATTCAAAAGATCAGGATTAATTCCACCAAAACACTTAAATGTACTTTTTAACATCATGCAATTCTTAGCAAATAAAGAGATGTTGAATCCAAGTGCTTGCCAATTAGTAACATAAAACTGGCCACAGGAAAGCAGTCTCCAGAGACTTGTTAAACAATGTTATGGCTACCATATTGTGACATACAAAGGCAATTTACGTCATCAGTTTAGGACAACAAATCAACAAGCAGTTGTCTTATTACACAACAACTTTTCAAGATAAAAATAGCCAGGTCTCGACGTTTACAAGAAAGGAATATAAACTTTAAAAAGCTATATTCACTAAACTATCAGCTAAATTTTAGCATGAATTGACTAGAAATGTTAAAAAGACTCACATACAAGTAAGCTTTATACTTTACCAATATGCATTTGAATATACTGTGTGTGGGTAAGTCAAATTATTTACGGGTTACTAATTAAGTTAACCTCATAGGCAACATCAAGAATGAAGTATTCTCCGGTAACTTCAAAATAGTTCGCAGTGACAAAAAAATAAACGTTCGTGCAAACAACAGTCAGAAATCCGAATTGAACTTTTACAGCCGTGTTTGCTACCACCACAAAGAGAATTGCCGGCAGTAAAAGTAAGTAACACAGTATGGAAAAACATGAATTACTTACAAGCAAGGTTTTCAGCATGCATACATTCAAATTCTCTTTCTATCTGAACAAACAGCGACCACAATCGAGAGCGAACATCTGAAGGCAGAGAGCTCTCGCGATCCTGTTCATATCCATCATGTCGCATTCTTTCTGAGCCCATTCTGTTCGGCGAGCGAGTTCGTCTAATCGAAAGCCGTTTAGGCTTAATCTTGATGCTGCCCGCTTGTTGCTTACTCATCTCTTGGGAACAGGTTGATAAATCTACAATACAAATTTATTCCTTCAGAAAGAAAGGAAGAGTACTAAATTCCAATCAGGTTTATCAAAGTGTGCCGCTGACCATGTAGAGTGAATCAAGTCTCTGGTCGCCTGCCCCCGGGGGGGCACTTGGGTATTTTTTGGGTGGGTATGTGCTGCCAGGGACTCCAAATTGGCACCCCGTTCTAAAAACAATTTCCCCTAAAATTGATACCCCGTTCTAGAAATGGGCCGATTTTTTTATACCCCGTTCTAGAATTCGCCCTAAAACTGATACCCCGTTCTAGAAATGGGCCATTTTTTTATACTGCGTTCTAGAAAGTTTGTAAATTGAAATAGCCCTGTTTTTTAAAAAGATATTTCTTTATTTGTTCGACTTACATCAAATAAATGCTTCTTCATAATCAGCAACAATTTTAGGGAGAAGATAAAGCCCTGATCCACAATTTTTTATACCCCGTTCTAGAAAACGCCTCTGAAATGGATACCCGGTTCTAAATCAGGAGCTTCAAAATCACGACCCCGTTGGGCGGCACATACCTGTATAGGTAATGTATGGGAGTACCCCCCCGGAGAACCTGCTTACCATTCGGCGTTCCACATTCAGCGTTCTTCAAAACGACACTAATAAATAAATTGAAAGCTGAGGCAATTTCTTGAAGCTTCAAATCAGCAAACAGAGTCATTCAGCAATGTGATTGGGCGATCCATGCCACCTGGTCTCAAAAAGGAATTTAGATTCTAAAGCTGATATGAGCTGTATTTGGATTCCAAAGCCCAGGATTCAGGATTCCGGATTCCGAAAATTTTCCATGATTTCAAAATTCGGATTCCCCAACGTATGATTTCAGACCAAAATTGCAAGAGACAACTACAATACAAGTTACCACCGTTATAATATTACAGCCATTTTGAATTCCCATAAATCAGTATCGCCTACCCTTCGAAGCCGAAGATTGATGGCGGCGTCCGGCGTGGGGTAAGCTAAATATTTAGTTAGTACCAATATCAAACTAACGTAATTGCCCTGTGTTGTAATTTCCATTCCTAAACATAGCTCTTGCAATACTGTATGTATTTGTGTGGTCATTCAAATAAAGCTCGTTGTTGTTGTTGTTGACCAAGAGATCAAAGTACCAAGATTTATTGATGAAGTAAGTAGCAGGATCAGGGATCGTGTAAAATGGAGTCGGAAACATTTTCAGGGACGTAGAGAGCTTTTTGACTAGTTGTAGGCCTTGCCGACTTTCATTTTCTACATATCCTGAAAATTGCACGCATGACTAGTATGTAGTGACCTCATCAACACCTTTTTTTTTTAGCTCACCCCATCAAGGCATAAGTTATTACAAGCGCGCGGTAGAGTGATCAAAGCAATAATGTGCAAGTTCGAACCCACAAGTTTATGGGCTGGCTACGCCCCTTGCTTTTACGCCTTTCTCCTGTCTTCCGTTGCCTGTTGCAACTGATTGCAAAGGTAGACATAAATTGAAACTTGAAAAAGTTTGGCCAACTTTTATTAAATAATGGTGAAATTTTCTTGTTATCTTCATCATACGCAAGTTGATACAATGACTCTATAGCTACAGGAGCCACTAACTTATGACCAGCACAGAATTCGAAATGACCTAAAACAGCAATATCAGAATATCAGTCTAAAAAGTTTGACCAATGGTCCGTCGCGGGTCGCGGATGTATGTCGCGGGTGTGAGTCGCGAATTTCCCCAGCCGCTACCCGCGACCCGCAACCCGCGAACCCCGTCCATTAGTCAAACTGTCCTCTTGACATAGCTTCACCCCAGGACCCCCGGGATGGAATTTTCTTGTACAGTGCCCAGGCTTCATTTTCTTGGCCGCGCGTTGATCTGGCCCGGCTGCTTCGGCGAGCGTATTCTCGGTGTGTTTGGATTATATTCTTCGAGTTTGTCAAAGTCTGTGGGATTCGTTTCTCTATCTGGGAAAGCTTCATTGGTTTCTATATCTGCTGCTATCCTATTTCTACGATTCTGGCATGTTTATTTTCCGTTGGAGTTCGAATTTCGTGGAAAACGTTGTGTTGAATGAGAGCATGTCGTCGAAAATGGCACCTCGTGTTTCCTACCTTGTATATTATTATTGTAGATAGAGTGAATTTGAACAAATTACTGCAAATTATCACGAAACTTCGTTGGAGCAATGAGGACAACAACAATTAACTGCAGAGTAAGTTTCATTGATCTTTATTTAGTATTTCCTAGAAATTTTAGGATGATATTTTTACCCCGATACAAGCACTGTAATTTTACTGGAACCGTACTGTGGTACTATCACAGAGCCTGGGTTACCTGTGGGTATGTCAGGTTATTATGCCTTTGAATGATTGAGAACCAAATGCATGTGAAAGCATGTTAAATGAAAAGGTTTCATTAGAATGGTCACGACCGGCCGATTATTACGTGCACAAGTTATTTTAGTCGTCCACAAGTTAGTATATAGACGCACAGATCAAGCCTACAGGTACCTAAAAAACAAACTCTTGCTAGAAATCAAGAAACGTGGTATACAGCAACTCATCTAAGCGAGATTCGCTTTAAACTGGCTTCCATCTAATTACTTCGATTCAAATTTACAGATATTCAAGTGCAGGTTCTGTGGAACTAAGTATTGTGAAGCATACTGCAGAGGAGATTTTCATGGTGTAATGACGGATAAAACAGTTTGTCGAGTTTGTTTTCAGGTATTTTGGAATTGAACTGGCCTTTTTAGCGTCAAGGAGAGCACGTTTATGGATGCAGTACTGAGTATATTTCAATCGGCCTCACTAAACAAAAACACAAAGGACAAATTCTCCTTTCTACCATGGCAAAACTTTAACCCTTTGAGTCCTAAGAGTGATCAGCATCAAATTTCTCCTTGCAATATCACTACTTTGTAAAACAGAGTGTTCATGAGAATTACGGAAATGATCACACGAGATGAATCAGTGGCTATATATTTTATCAACTTCTCCCCCCCCCCCTGCTTCTGTAGGAAATCAACAGGGGCAACAAATGAGAATTCAAATTTTGATCCTAAGGTTTAACTGGTTAAACAATTGGCTTCGTGAGGGGAGGATAAAGACACCCAAATTTCTGAAAGCTGTGCCCTTTGTGAAACTTGAAAGGTATTACATCCGGACAGTTTACGGAAGAGAACAAAGAAAAGTGTTTACTTAATTCGCAAAATGACAAATCGTTTACAAAGCAGGCTCGTTTCAATTTATTAGAAGAGAAATGTCGCAATCCCTGAATCACCTTGTGTAACTAGTCTCCAAATAGATCTTTTGAGTAGAATTAGTTCTTGTTGTTTTTGTTTAATCCTTTAATTAGCCCAAGATCATAGTTCGTAAGCTTTTATGTAAATTGGTTTGTTCCTAAGGAAACTGCTGTGCTCCATCAAGAAGATGAACAGGGGGACCTCCCTATAAAATTGACCGTTTTAGGGGTAACAGTCGCAGATTTTGGTCCGCACTTGTGCATGGTTTTCAGGGGGGAAAGCCAAGATTTTTTCCAATGAAAGTCTCGTTAATAGTATTGTCCCACGCATACCTCCTCGAGGGTTCGTCACAAGTTACTGCCCCACGTTGGGGAGGACAGCGTGACAAGCCAAAAGAACCACTGAAAGGGAGGCTACGTTAACAAGGGTGTCGAGTAAAGGTGTGCCTTATTACTTGTTGTGTGTTACTTAATGTCATCATTACGAATTTCAGCCGAAATGCCAAGGAGAAAGAATTGGGCAAGACCCAGGAAAATCAGCTCAGAACAAAAGAACAGTCAACAAGAAAACAGTCAAAGCTGAAACTTCACAAAAACAATCACAAGACACGAGAAAAAGATAAATATCAACCGGCTCTAGTTTAAAAAATCCGTAGATTGTTTAAAACAGGTCTCTTTTCTTAATGCAGAGGAAAATGTGAGCCGAAAACACCCGAGCTTATCGGAAGCTAGTGAATTGTAATATCGTTTTCAGATTTCAACCCATGTTAATAGCATGAACGGTTGACTTTGTTGGTCAGACGCTCAAACAAGCCAAGGAGGGCGAGGGCAGTGCAAGGAGCTTGGGAAGTTAGAAACAAGAAACCGTCCTAGCCTGCAGTTTCGGAGAGCGATCGCTGATGTCTTTGCCACGTTATGCGCCTGGTCGAGTTAAATAACTTTCAGTTCATGGAATTCTGTCCCCAAGTTAGCAATAATGCTAATTTGAAAGCTACGAAAATCATAACATAGAAAGTTCTGAACATAATGCACACCCAGCACTTATTTATCGCGGGGACGTTCGGGAACGATCGATCTACGACAATTGTCGTTTTGATGTAGGGCGCTCTCGTGCGAGTGGACTAATTATGAAAGTGTCTACATGAGTGATACATTTGCTCATCGCAGTACGCTACGTGAAATCCACCATAGACCTTCGCCACCCTAGCTGTTCTCTGGTGTTTAGAAAGTGCGAGCTGCTCGCGATTAGGGGTTCTTACCATTTACATGTTAAAAGCAGAAATTTCGGTTGGAAAATTAAATGATTCTCGCCAATCTGTTTGCGAAGCTTCTCAAAATAACGTAAAATTCCGAAAATAAGCCCCGGGGCTTATATTTTTCAAAGGCCCTTTCGGAGGGGCTTATTTTCGGGAGGGGCTTATATTCGGAGGGGCTTATCTACGGAGGGAAATTTGCGTTTCCAACTCCACTGGGTTAGCCTTATAGTTGGAGGTAAATTTACTGTTTTTGCTTTGTTCTACCTTGTATTTGAGGGCAATTTTCCAAGTAGAAACCCCCAGGGGGCTTATATTTGGAGGGGCGATTTAACGGAGGGTTTCTTGCGTTACCGGTTTGGGGGAATTATATTTGGAGGGGCTTATTTTCGGAATTTTACGGTATGGGATGTGATTAGACCCAGTCAAATTTTATAGTTTTGTGTTTATGCACAATATTTCCACCCTGGTGGTTTGTGTAAATGGTAAGCATC